GTACACTATTTTGAGAACCCCACATCAGAGTGAACGGTCACTCTAATGACCCTTGAAAATGTACATGTATCGAAAAGATGCTGGTTGCTAACTTTTGAGGTGTGCAGCTTAAAACACTTTAATACAAGAAGCCCAAAATCGAAAAGACTGGCAGAGTGCGCTTGGCTTGTTCCAGAAAGATTATTGACAAGAGGACCCCACACTTGCTGTTCATGCATTTTTTGTATTAATGGACACAAGGAGTTCTTTTAGCGACATAAACAGGTGAGGCAAATTAAGCAGCAAGAACGAAATATTTTCTCGTAGCGCAGTAGATAGCAGATGCGATTATGTGTTTTGCACAGTTCTGTCCAGCAGAGCCAAAAAGATGCTAGCAACTTTCCGCCTCGATTTTCAGTACGCGCAAACATAGATGCTTGTGAAAGGTGTGAGTTTAATTGCTAGGTAGAGAAAGAATATCCTTATAAAATTTCGATTTTCAAGCTTGATTGGTTGTTGAATCGCTGTTAATGAAGAGTGTAAACATGGCCGAACTGCCATATACTCAGTAGTAATGATACAGCTTGAAAACGGACCGGACCAGAAACTAATAAAATACTTCCCGTAAATCAGCAAAGTACAAAACTGTAAACTGTGGAGAGGTTGTTTGTGTGTATGTTTGCATTTTTCCGCATATTTCGACACCCAAACTTACGAAAGCTATAAAGTTGAAGTCTTGGCAGCTTAGTCCTCCACTACGGATAGGATCACCAGATGCAGATGTTCACGTTACACTACTTCTTACTTTCTAATACATAAAATTTAGCGGTAAAAATATTGTAACTCTTAAACCAAACTAGCTATAGTGTTGAAAATTTGATTTTTGCTTTTTTTTAAATTTAAATTTAGATGTTTTATGATTATGAAAGATTGTAAAAAGATAAAAATGGAAATATGAATAAAATATAATTAAAATTTTAACTGATTAGGGAATTTTGATTTTTTTTTGCAAGTTGACCGAAAAATTCAGTAACCTCTTCGACGAGATCCTCAAGCGTTACAAGCCCTTGCACAATATAGTCGCGTTTTTCATCATCATACTTAATCACCATAGCGATTCGAATTCCACTCTTCATCTCAATTAATAGTTGTAGCACTGACATACCGCCAACAACAAATCGGAACTGAGTGCTGCGCTGCCAAAGCTGCACGATTGTACTCACTTTCAATCTACTCGTTTGACAAAACGGCAATAGATCTTTCATATTCAGGACAGCTATGATCTGAAACAGGCATTTTTAGTAAGCCTAATTCTTTGGCCAACGCTTCTATTCTTGGTCGCAATAATCTTTAGACAAGTACCATATCCAGATTGTTGCAAAAGAAACAAGGTGCTAACAAGGAAACGAAGCTGCCGACCAAACCCCTTCGCCTTGCTCTGCCCTTCGATTCCATGTGTTATGCAAATGTCCCGTCTCTTGAGTCGAGTTCCCCCTCCGTGGTATTTAACGTGGTGATTAGAAATGAAATAGGAATTGTTCTTTGTGTCTCAGAAATTGTGTGGCGGAAGCTTGGATCTGCAGCCAGGTTTTTTCGCGGTTTGTTTTTTTTAACTTTTTGGTTCTGCGCTTCTTTTAAAGGATTGTTTATTAGTTTGGGCGAGAACTACTTCGCAGCCGCACAGACCGCCGGCCGTCCTCCTCTTCGTTACAAGATACACACTCATATCATAAATCAAAAATACTCATTTTTCATCTGCAGTATATGTGCATACATGTG